CGGGGGGGGGGGGGGTGGCAGGAAGGGAACCTATTTTTCCAGTTGCTGTTCACCCCCACATGCAGGTTAGCTCTAACCCCGTGTGTGGGGATGGGTTGTTTTGACCCTTGTGCACCGTATTACAGTAAGCATTTTTAGTTTGTTCTGTTTAGCTGCAGGATCTATTGTCCTGCACTATACTTGCCTAGTTCATATGATAAAGCTATCAGTGTGCATGATGTGACAAGGGGTTTGTTTTTCAGCCAGCTTCTCATAGATCCTAATGCTGTTTTTGAATGGAGAGAAAGAGAGGCCCAAGGTCACCCAGCTGGCTTTTTGTGCCTAAGGGAGGACTAGAACCTGAGTCTCACCTCTGCTCATCCTGTACGTTAACCACTGTATCACACTGGCTCTCAGTCAAATGATATGCATATGGGTATAATTCAAGATGCAGGGAAACCAAAGCCCTCGTCTTAAACTGAAAACAGCATCTTTTTCAAAATATTTTGGGATTGAAGAACCCCATAAAAATTTATGGAACCACATTCTGATTTTTCAGAAAGTTTTCCAGATATGTATTTGGATATTCTACAAAAACTACATAGTATCCTGGCAATGACATAGCATTATAAATTTTTTGAAAATGAAAACTTATCTCTTCAGGAAAACTACAGATCTTATAATTCCCAGTTAGAAATTTAACTTTGGGGGCCTGGGAAGAGTGCAAAAGAAGCACAGGCACCTTATACATTTCAATGCATTTCTCAACAGATTAAATGGACTATGGCTTGTAAATGTCAGCCTTTCTACGCAGGCATTGCGAGTCCTCTTACCATCATGGTCATCTGCCATGAAAACTGATCAGGAACAGAAAAAAATTAACATCTCCCTTGCCATTGATTCCATCATGTTATTGTCTCTCCACTCCTGTATTCGTATTAACAGCTTTCCCCCAACCCCCAACCCCATTTTAAGAAATAAGTTTACTAATAATATATGTAGTTCTACACGATTCATGAAAAAGCTTCTGCAATATTCTTTCCCTCAATTTTCAAGTGGCTTAACAGATACTATGCTACTTCTTTGATTTTAATAATATAGGTGCGAAATTGTGATGAAAAATTCATCTGCTTTTGGTTGACATGGCAAAATTGCAAGGCTCTATTCCAAGAAGCCCTGTTCATTAGAAGCTTCACAACAAACAAGTCCAAACTCCAGACAAGCTTAGAAAATGGAATGTATATTCTAAAAGCAAACAAAACTTTTAGCTCTAACCTTATAAAACTGCAATGTAGAAAACACTCATATTGCAAAATATTGATCATTATTCTATGATGTAAATCTTACCTTGGTAAGTTCATAGCTTTTTAAATTCACAACATCGAGTTTAATGCCATAGGCACAAAGTAAACCATTTCATTTCCATTAATGATTTACCTTTTACAAATAATATTAATTATTCACTAGGACTGAACCAAACCAACTACCTTGAAGGGAAACTTAACCCATTCTTTAACTTGATATTTCTACAAAAAGTATGTAGTTTCTATTACTGGTCCAGAGAAAATATCTGTTTCCTCTTTTTATTTATTTGTACACACACACACACACACACAATCTGTAAACTCTTCTGTATGTACTCAGATCAAAAGGTTCCCCCCATCCAACACACACAGCAATAATTTTAGAATTCCACTCACACATTTATCAAATGTAGACAGGTAATTCCTCATGTTTCCAAGGAAATGAGTTTATATTTTTAAGAGAGGGCAGCAGCCAATTCATCCAACTTGTTAACAATATTGCTTTGGTCCCTACACTAAACAAAAGATGGTTACATTTGAAAAAATAAACCCTAAGCAATTTATAAAAAGTGTATCACAATCTGAGAAATTTTCCAAAGAACAAGTTAGTACCCAAGTGCTGAAACAGGATAAAACTCAAAACCTGCTAGGTGGAGAAAAAGTAGGCTGAACGTGTGAAACATGTTTGTTTCGGAAAGAGACAGTGAAATCAACCAGCTGACATTGGTCTAAACCCCAACAAGAAGAAAAGTATTTTAACATAGGAAATGAGGACAACCTATAAAGAACTAAGTGAAGCATAACAAGTCAGCTTACAAGGTAGCAGACTGCCTATGTTGCCTTTGCTGTCATTTATCATTAACTGACAGGCTAGAGCAGATCTGAATATATAGACAGACAAGAAACAATTCCCTTCTCAGTTATTTATCAATAGTAGCAATCCTTAACTACCATATTTATCAGCATATAACACGCACCTTAATTTTAAGAAGGAAGTTTGAGTAAAAAAACCCTTAAATTTAAAAGCAATGACTTGGAAGCAAAATAAAGGGAGCTCTGAACTTTTTGTTTATTAATATTTATACCACTTGTAAGATAAATACGTAATATGAAAGAAAAAGCACCTCTTTTGTATGTTGTAGGCTGGCTGTGTATAGTGTGTGGGTACCATTAGCGTTTGTTGTGTGTAGTGTGTGGTAATGGTAATCTGTTTCTTACCATACTGGGACTTAT